TATGCTATAATACAGGATTAAGTTGAGGATCTTGAGAAGGGGAGCTTATCTGAGGTTATCTCAGTAGGCCCTAAAAGCAATCATGTGTTTCTTCATAAGATAGGAGCAGTGCGACCAGGCCTGGTGGCTCAACCCTGTAATTCCAGCACTTTGGGAGGCTGAGGCGGGTGGATCACAAGGTCAGTAGTTTGAGACAAGCCTGGCCATTTTGGTAAAAATCTGTCTGTACTAAAATTACAATAATTAGTCGGGAGTGGTGGTGTGGGCATCTGTAGTCCCAGCTACTCAGGAGGCTGAGGCAGGAGAATCGCTAGAACCCAGGAGGTAGAGTTAGCAGTGAGCTGAGATCTCGCCACTGCACTCTAGCCTGGGCAACAGAGTGAGACTCCATCACACACACACACACAAAACGATAGGAGCAGTGGGAGATTTTGATCAGAGAAGAGGAGAAGGTCATGTGACCATAGAGGCAAAGACTGGAGTGATGTGGCCTTAAAGGAAGCCAAGGATTGCAGGCAGCCGTGGAGAGCTGGAAGAGGCAAGGAATGATTCTCCCCTGGAGCCTCTGGAAGAAGCATGGCCCTGCTGATACCATCATGTTGGACTTCTGGCCTCCAGCACTGTGAAAGAATAAATTTCTGTTGTTTTAAACCGCGAAGTTTCTGGGGAAGTGATACTTATTAAGCACCTGCCTCTATGTGTCTGCCACTATTTACATCATCTCATGTCACACTGAGAATAACTCCTATGAGTTAGGCATGGCTGCATCATCTGTGTGGTTAAATTCAAAAGTTGCAAGATAGCTACAAAACCACAAGAAATTAAAATAATCCTTGACGATGCTGGCTGTTTCTTATTATGTTTTTCCTGCTGAGTTGGGTGAAGATGCTTGCTTTCTTTGAACACTGGCTAAACTAGCTGGTTGTTGGCTTGCATTTAGCAGAGCCTTGCTATGCAAAGTGACTTTATCTTGTTTTAAAGAGGTGTAATTCTTCCTAGCAAGACAAAAGGCTCAGGCTGTAAAAAGCTTGAGGGAGTTGAGTGAAATCCAGATGTCTTCCTCTTACACCAGGGCTCAGCTCCTTCAGAGGGGAAGCGGGAAGAAATGACCTGTGAACTGTCATTTTTTACCTACTCTCCAGCATAAAGTAAACTCCAAGTAAGCGTTAACTATTCCTTAACTGTGATTCAGCCTGAAATGTTTTCAAACAGGTGGGGGATTAGTTGTATTTGCCATGTATGTGGAAGCGAGGCATGAGAATAGGGCCTGGAGGCAGGGAACTTAAGGACTTTCTAGAACCAAGTCAAATGGAAACCCATCAGCTACGACAGGAAATAACCTCTCCATGTACTTAAGGCAAACACCGACGAAATGATTGTGTAACTTTACTTCATCCTCTACATTTACACAGGGTGCACACCAAATAACCTATGGAAACCTCTAGAGGATATTTAAACTGCAGGTAATTCTGTAAGGGGGCCCTTGAGCCCCTAGGCTTGGGCCCGATTCCACCCTGTGGAGTGTACTTTCATTTTCAGTAAATCTCTGCTTGTGTTGCTTCATTCTTTCCTTGCTTTGTTTGTTTTGACCAATTCTTTGTTCGAGGTGCCAAGAACCTGGACACCTTCAACTGGTAACGGAAGTCAGCATTTTGCAAAATACACTGTATTCCAGCATTCTCATTTGCTAGCTGTGACTTTGGGCCAGATACCTAGCATTTCTGTGCCTCAGTTTCACATTTGTTAAACGGAAATATTGACAGCACCTAACTCAGAGGGTGGCTATGAGGATTCAATAGAAGGATTCAATAGATTAAATTAGTTATTAATGGCTAACCGCACGGAACAGTTTCAGTGCATATAAAGAACCACCAAAACTCAGGATTCTGCCTTGGATTTCTTTCTCATTGCTTGATTTGTGTATATATATTTATATTATTAATGAATGCTTTAACTGATTCTTTCACCTGTGGAAAAGTATGTTCGACACGTACATGGGAAAAACAATAAGGAATGCAAAGGAGGAGAAAATTCCAGATGAACACAGAAAGGAGCTTCTTAAGACAGACAGTAGGTTCTCTAAGGGATCCCTGGTGACAATTATTAAAGCAGCTCATCTGGAGGCTGACGGTGTAATCGGTGGCCTGCCATAGGAGACGCTCCTTATTTGCCAAGACAGGCAGTGAACCGGCTGACAGTCTGATTAAGCTATTAGGATATTATCACAGTCACTCTACTTCTTCTTTATTAGCAGACTGAAGTAGCGCATGTTCCAGAACAAGAAAAAGCTGTAACTATGCTCAGGTCTCAGTTTCCTTGCTGGTAAATGGGGTTCATTAATATGTCCTTTCCAGAGCTTTTTCAAGAACTCCATGAGAGAACAAATTAAACAGCATTTGGCCCAATGGCCTGGTACACGTAAAGGCACACCATGTCCACATCCTCTATTACCTAAGGAAGAGAAACCCTTAAACCCAAGCATTTAAGAATTATATAATGATTTCCTGGCCGGGAGTGGTGGCTCATGGCTGTAATCCCAGCACCCTGGGAGGCTGAGGTGGGTGGATCACACGAGGTCGGGAGTTCAAGACCAGCCTTACCAACATGGAGAAACCCCATCTCTACTGAAAATATAAAATTAACTGGGTGTGGTGGTGCACAGCTGTAATCCCAGCTACTCGGGAGGCTGAGGCAGGAGAATCACTTGAACCCAGGAGGCTGAGTCAGGAGAATCGCTTGAACCCAGGAGTCGAGATTGTGCCATTGCACTCCAGCCTGGGCAACAAGAGCAAGCAAGACTCCATTTCAAAAAGTAAATAAATAAGAACTACATAATGCTTTACTAACGGTGAGAAATTCTATGAGCTGGGAGAAGATATAGAAGGATAAAGGAACATTGAGCTGGAAAGTCCATTACCATAGGTATCTAGGGGAATATATCCTAGTTATTTAAATGACTCAGTAATAGTTACAAAAATATAACTAATGATTATCATGGGCTTGATAGGTCCCAGGCGCTGATTCTAAGGGTCTCACATTTATGAACTTGCCAATCCTCTTCCCAAAATGATGAACTGGCCACTTCTTGATTTTGTGTTAACATAGCACTTTCTTAATGTGGTGGTGCCTGGTAGATTTATATATTAATCTGATGATTCACTCATGCACTTGTTCATGTCACAGTGTTCCTGGGCTGCAGCAAAGGATGGTGAACTGACTCCGTGGTTGCCTCACTGGTGCTGACTACTCCTCTCTGAGTCTTAAAAAAGTGCTCTGAGTCAGACACGGGATTTAAGCTGGAATCTTCACGTAGCTTGTGAATCGAGTTCACACACATGCCTACCTGAAGCATGTTGGCGGCCCTGGCAATGTGCCCTATTTTGTTATCTGCTGAAAAACAATTGGTATGTGTGTGAAAGTTCTGTTTTGATCCTGTGTTAGTCTGTCAAAATTACCATCACTAAGCACTACAGACGAGGTGGCTTAAACAACAGAACTTTCTTTCTTTGCAGTTCTCAAGGCTGAAGTCCCAAGATCAAGGTGCTAGAAGGCTGCTTTCTCCCACGCCCTCTTTCCTTGGTTTGCACATGGTCGTCTCTTCCCAGTGTCCTCATGTGGTCCCCTCTGTGTGCCTGTCTGCTTCCTAATCTCCTCTTGTCATATTGGATTAGGACTCGTTCCAATAACCTCATTTGACCTTCATAAAGTTATGACCTCTTTCAAGGCCCTATCTTCAATTACAGTCACATTCTGGGCTACCGGGGGTTAGGACTTCCATGTGTGGGTTTTCTGGAGTGAGAGAGACACGATTCCGTTCGTAGATGTTAAATGAGAATCACTAAATTATTGAAGTCTAGGCTTTAAAAGCACATTTACATTTAAGGAAATTAAAGCCCAGAGAAGTTAAGTCACTGCCTGAGCTCACATCCTTAGATACGGTGACGCGTAACTCACTTCATACCTTCTTTCCTTTACCCCTTCCTTTATCAACAGAAGAGTTGCAAGAGCAGCCTGTCCTTCCCCCTCCCGTTACGCCTGTGTGTCTTTGGTCATTTATTTAATTTTTTGAGCCTCAGTTTTCCTACATTTGAGATAGGAAAAATCATGACATCGAAGTGTTGTTGAGGATCAAAACAAGTGATGCTAGCCAGGCACAGTGGCTCATGCCTGTAACCCCAGCACTTTGGAAGGCCGAGGCAGGCAGATCATCTGAGGTCAGGGGTTCAAGACCAGCCTGACCAACATGGTGAAACCCCTCTACTAAAAAAAATACAAAAATTAGCCAGGTGTGGTGGTACATGCCTGTCATTCTGGCTACTCAGAGGCTGAGGCAGGAGAATCACTTGAACCTGGGAGGAGGAGGTTGCAGTGAGCTGAGATTGTGCCACTGCACTCCAGCCTGGGCGACAGAGTGGGACTCTTGTCTCAAAAAAAAAAAAAAAAATGCAGATAGACTAGGCCTGGCATATACACTTTTTAGTAAAAATTTCCCCTTTCTTGTGGATTGATTTATAAGTTATTCACAAATATTTTACTTGATTCATTCTTTCTTCCCCACCGGCAGATGGGTACTGAGAACAGGCATGCTCAACATAGCCCAAACACTGTGTCTGAGTTCACATTTATTCTGGGGACACAAATCCATAGATAGATAAGGAATTCCGACAGACATCAGAAAAGTCTGTAGTGGGCAGTTCAGTGCTGAGGAGGAAAAGGAATCTGACATTGGTATATGCTCCCCTGAAGGCTTCCTGGGAGGCAGAGTTTAGATGTGTCTTATAGAATGAGTTTCTTTAACAGGCAAAGCAGGGGATGAGGTTCATGAAATGGTCAGAACTGGCCACTGGCCTGGTGGGCCAAAGTGTATGACATGTGCAGCTGTTCGTGGAAGGGGAGGGGAGGTCAGCCTACATCCCCCTCCTCCAGGGCAACATCTCCCAAACTCTTCCTTTATTTCTTGCACTTAGCCTGGAACAGGAAGGCAGTTAAGTTATACCCACCTCATCTCCTCTGAGTCCTGTACCAAGGGCAAACTGCTGATTCCTCTCCAGGAAGCGGATTTTTACATTGTAGACTTTGTTCCCATTAAACACCACCAAAACATAGGGCTCTTCCTTGGATTTCGTGGAACAATCTCGGACCAAGAAAGTACCATCCTGAAGCAGAAAAAGTACCAGTCATCTTTTCAGGCATGTCAGCATTCTGCCCTTGTAATGGTGGCCACAATGATGTTTGCATGCATGAGATTCCCAGATGATTTAGTTTTCGGTAAACCACAATTCAGTAAGTTTTTACCGAGTGTCTGCATGTCTAAGGGTTCTTGTCATTTTCTGAGATGTGTAGCAGTTGGATCTTGACACTCTCTTCTTGAAAATCTTTCATCAAGACTAGGGGGTGGTGGCTCATGCCTGTAATGCCAGCACTTTGGAAGGCCAAGGCAGGTGGATCACCTGAGGTCAGGAGTTTGAGACCAGCCTGGCCAACACAGAAAACTCCCATCTCTATTAAAAATACAAAAATTAGCAGGGCGTGGTAGTGGGCTCCTGTTATCCCAGCTACTCAGGAGGCTGAGGCAGGAGGATCACTTGAACCCAGGAGGCAGAGATTGCAGTGAGCTGAGATTGCGCCACTGCACTTTAGCCTAGGGGACAGAGTGGGACTCTGGTTAAAAAAAAAAAGAAAACAAGAAAATATTTTATTATCTCCTACTGACCTGGGCATAGTGCCCATGAACTTAGCATGACCAACCTATCTCGCAGTTTGATCTCTCATTGCTCCTGCAGCCTCCTGCTCCTGGCTCCTGGCTCCACCCAAGCCACCATTTCCCAAAGGCACCATCTGATTTGGGGCTCCCAGATTTTACATGATGTATTAGTCTGTTTTCACATTGCTATAGAGAAATATCTGAGACTGGATAATTTATAAAGGAAAGAGGTTTAATTGACTCACAGTTCCATATGGCTGGGAAGGCCTCAGGAAACATAATCACGTAGAAGGCAAAGGGGAAGCAAAATGGACCTTCTCACATGGGAGGAGGAGAGTAGAGTGAGGAGTGAAGAGAGAAGAGCCCCTTATAAAACCATTAGATCTCATGAGAACTCACTCACTAGAACAGCATGGGGAAAACTGCCCCCATGATCCAGTCAACCCCACCACGTCTCTCCCTAGACACATGGCCATTATGGGGATCACAATTCAAGATGAGATTTGTGTAGGATCACAAACCATGCCAACATGTGCTACTTCTTCTGCATGGAAAATCCCTTCTCCTGGCCCCTTCTTATTATATTCATCTCCCATGTTCACATGTTTCCTCTTCTGCCTGAGGCTTGGGTATTATTCTAGAGACAGTGAGTGCCATTGCGGGCTTCGAGCAGAAGAAGTTTTACCTAATAAACTGGACTTCTGTGTGGAAAGATGTCTACGCAAGATTAGGGTTCCTGAAAGAGACGTGAGGTTTCTAAGTCATGGATATGAAACTGAGTGGAGAGATCCTGTATGGGAGGAGGTATTGTAGCCTAAGTTGAGGTGAAGGCAAGTACAGGGCAAAAAAGCAGAGACAGAAAAGACCTGGAACTATCTGAAAGATGAAGGAAGACCAGGAGATTTAGAGTGACAGAAGTCAAGACGTGGAGATTCATAGTTTCCAAAAGCAGGTCAACAGTGTCAAATGGTCCAGGAGCTGAGAACAGGATATCGATTAGAAATAATTTTTACACTCCAGGGAATAATTCAGAATGATACTAAGATCTTGTTGTAAAAGAGTGAGAAATGGAGCAGTTCTCCTGAACATAAACACACCTACCAGGCTTAGTTTTGTGGTTACATTGTGTCATTTATATGATGAAAAACACTGAAAAATCTGTAAGTGTAATTGTGTGTATTGTATACAGGATTATACGTGATCTATGAAGAATAAATAGAAGCCGGGTGAGATGGCTCATGCTTGTAATCCCAGCACTTTGGAAGGCTGAGGTGGGTGCATCACTCGAGGTCAAGAGTTTGAGACCAGGATGGCCAAGATGGTGAAACTTCATCTCTACTAAAAATGCAAAAGTTAGCCAGGCATGGTGGCATATGCCTGTAATCCCAGCTACTCTAAAGGCTGAGGCAGGAGAATCTCTTGAACCCAGGAGGCAGAGATCGCAGCAAGCCAAGATCACGCCACTGCATTCCAGCCTGGGCAACAGAGTGAGACCCTGTCTCAAAAAAAAAAAAAAAAAAAAAAAGAATAGATATGATAGATATAGATAAAATATAGAGTGATATATATCTATAATGAATTATAATTAGATTTTATAAAAGCTACATATAATTATATATTTCTTTAATGAATATAAATTTAGATATATAATGGTAATAATACTATGTAATGCAATATAACAATACTTTAAGTATACAAAATTTATAAATAAGACTGTAACATTATAGTGATGTTATGATGATACTGGCAGCTTAAGGTGCATTGAGAATTGCCCTCAAGGTGCCAAGCACTTTACACACATTGTTTCATTTGCAGGTTCCTTTTTTTTTTTTTCTTTTTGAGATATAGTCTTGTTCTTTCGCCCAGACTAGAGTGCAATGGTTTGATCTCAGCTCACTGCAACCTCCATCTCCCAGGTTCAAGTGATTCTCCTGCTCAGCCTCCTGAATAGCTGGGATTACAGGTGCAAGCCACTACACCCAGCTAATTTTTGTATTTTCAGTAGAGAAGGGGTTTCGTCATGTTGGCCAGGCTGGTCTCAAACTCCTGACCTTGGGTGATCCACCCACCTCGGCCTCCCAAAGTGCTGGGATTATAGGCATGAACCACCATACCTGGTCCATTTATAGGTTCTTTACATAAACGTTGATGGAAGTATTTTAGTCTCATTTTACAGGTAAAGGAATAAAGGTCTAAAGGCTTAAGTGAATCCCCTAAAGTGTCACAGTTACTAAATGGAATATTTCAAAATCAAACCAAATTCTTCCTCTTTAAATACACAAGCCTCGGAGTATATAAAGTAGGACGGAGGAATTTTCTGGAACTTGTTCTGCCTAAAATGTTTAGTCATAAGTGAAGCCTTAATGTTCAAGCACAGAGCACTGCCAAAGATCAGAAAGAGAGAGGAGGCCAAAACTCATGGCCAAGTTTTGGGTTTATCCTCTTAAACTTTGCAATGAATTTGTCAAAATAAATCTGAGTAATCCTGAAATTTAAATTAAATTATCTTTCATAAATGGGAAACACATTTTGACAGAACTGACTGAGACAAACAGAAAAGGAAAATATGAAGTCATTTAACTGAGATTTTATTTTCTTAATGTTTCTTGGGAAGAGGCAGAAAGAGGCCTACAGAAAGAGAGGAAGCGAGCATTTGCTGAGCGCCCAAATGCTGCCAGAAAAACATCAGGTAACATGAGTAGTGCTTTTCCAGCATAATCCATGCATGGGTTACTGGAAGCAGGTCTACTAAGAGTAGTTTTTCTGGAAAACAGGCTCTGTGAGTGCAGTAGTGCACCGAGCACTGATTAGCCGAGAAGGAGAGCCAGGGTTGGAATCTACCATCACCAGGTTCACCACTCTACCAAGGCATGGACAGATTCCCTGGAAGGAAAAAAGGAAGGTCCTCGAGGAGCTGCATCAGCCGACCACCCAGGCTTTCCACCTGGGCTGTGAAAAGAACTGTGAAAGCTACTACAGGCAGCTGGGATTTTGTGAAAAGCGCACTGATCTTGAACGCATGTCCTTCCGATGTATTTACTTTCTGACCAACACATTGGCTTAGCCTCAGTTTCCTCATCTAGGAAATGGGATGTTCCATTTATTCCATGTATATTCAAGATACTTTTTAGCAATGGTATCATTTCCTACTGCTACTATAACAAACAAACATGAAATCAGTGGCATAAAACACAAATGTATTCTCTTACAGTTCTGGAAGTCAGAAGTCAAACATGAGTCTTGCTGAGCTAGAATCAATAGGGAAGGCTTTGTTTACATGACTTTTCCGGTTTCTAGAGGCGTGTGGCTCTCCTGTTCATCTGAGCTCGACTTTCATTATCACATCTCTCCTCTGACTCTGACACTCCTGCTTCCCTCTTACAAGGACCTTTGTGATGACGTTGAGACCACCAAGATAATGCTTGGTAACTTCCCCATCTCAAGATCCTTGCCTTCATCACATCTGCAAAGTCCCCTTTTCTAGGAAGGTGACATAGTCATAGGTTCTGGGGATTAGGATGTGAACATCTTTGGAGGGGGCATGCTTCTGTTTATCATTGCAACTTATATATATAATTTATTTAATTTTACAACATCAATTCTGGGAGTTAGGTTTTTTAAAATTTTATGAAAATTTATTGTAGGCCTATCATTTATTCACTAATTCATTCATTCATTCATTTTGGGTTACCTCCATCAACAATGACCATTGTACTGGTTAGCTGGGGATAGATTTCGATGTTGCAGCAGTCTGGAGACACTTTCTATAACTTCTAAGCAATCTCGTATAGTTCTCTGCACATAGTCCTTGTTTGAAAATTATTTGCTCTTTGGGATGAGGATTGTGGTAGTCATTTGACCTGAGTATAAATATTCCAGTTCTTTTCTCCTTTTGGCCACATCTGGTAAGTTCGCACTTCCATACCTTCTTTGAACTTAAGGTTGGTTATGTGACGTCCTTTGGTCAAAGATATGTAAGCAGAAGTAAAATATGTTACTTCTGAGGGATGTATTAAGAGCCAGAGTGTGGGCCAGATGCAGTGGCTCATACCTGTAATCCCAGCACTTTGGGTTGCTGAGGCAGGTGGATCACAAGGTCAGGAGTTCGAGACCAGCCTGGCCAAGATGGTGAAATCCTGTCTCTACTAAAAATACAAAAAATTAGCTGGGCATGGTGGCAGGTGCCTATAATCCCAGCTACTTGGGAGGCTGAGGCAGGAGAATCACTTGAACCTGGGAAGTAGAGGTTACAGTGAGCTGAGATCACATCACTGCACTCCAGCCTGGACACCAGAGCAAGACTCTGTCTCAAAAAAAAAAAAAGAGAAAGGAGCCAGAGTGTGAAGGTGGAAGCCCACCATTGAGATGGAGCCCCCAGCAGCCTGAGTTTATCCACCCAAACCCATCCTGAACATGGTATGCAAACAAAAACAAAGTTTCATTATGTTAAGCAACTGAGATCATGGGGTTGTTGCTGCGGCATAACCTTTTCTCTCCTGACTACTGCAGCCTTCACAATCCCTGCTCCTTTCTCGAAGAAGTGAGACATAAAGACCCAACAGTACTTTGGGCAAACCTTGATTAAGAAGACAAAGCTTGAAGAAAGCAGAAGGAAACTCCATCTATTGTGACCTCTATAGCCCAGTTTCTATATTTCATGTTGAAAATAGTTCCTTAGGGTTGATTTTACTATGTTTCATTTTACGAATGACTAAATCTACACGGGAAGTTATTTAGGAACTTGAGAAAGCCACACAGCTGATAATTAGCTCTACCACCCTGAGGTCTGAAACTCTCCATGTTGTTTTGTTTTTTGTTTTGTTATTTTATTTTATTTATTTTTGAGACAGTGTCTCACTCTGCTGGAGTGCAGTGGCGCGATCTTGGCTCACTGCAACCTCCACCTCCCTGGTTCAAGCAATTCTCACGTCTCAGCCTCCTGAGTAGCTTGGGTTACAGGCGCATGCCACCACACCTGGCTAATTATTTTTTGTATTTTTAGTAGAGATGAGGTTTCACCATGTTGGTGAGGCTGGTCTCAAACTCCTGACCTCAAATGATACACCTATCTCAGCCTCCCAAAGTGCTAGGATTACGGGTATGAGCCACTGCATCAGGCCTGAAACTGTCCGTGTTAAATGCTCTTTTCAACTACAAGAGGTGATGCAGGAAATGCTACATTGAAGCTGTTGCTTGTTACATCTTGCAACCCATGAGCAGAAAACCATAAGATGCCTATAGAAATAGTGATGATGGGCCATGTAGAAGGCATTACCTTGTTCTCCTTCATTAATGCCTCTTCCACTTCCTGGCGACTGTATTCTCCAACGTACCATTCATTGTGCTGGATATCCTGCAGTACCGAATCAATAACAAATATTTTAGGGTTAAAAAGAAGTATGAATTATTAATTAATTCAAAATTTACTTTTATTCCACCAGTGCCTAGTCATAGTTTCATCTATAGTAGATATTCAGCACCCAACATTTAGTCTCTGACCTGGAGAAGCCCACAGATGCTTAGGGCAGAGAGACAGAGAAAAAGTTACTGTAGCTTACTGTCCTGTACGTACAGTACTTACTATACTGGAGTTCTGAAGTCTGTGAGAATCTGTTGAGAAAGATCCTTTAGCACCACCCTCAGAATAGATCATAAGCCCTCTATCTATCAGTGCTTTCTGAATCTTCAGCAACTGAGGCTTGTTGAGGTGGAAATGTGTATTGTTGGTGAAGCCTGTACTGCCCTCATCACATACAAACAGAAGGGAGGGAGAAAGAGGTGCAGAAAGAGCTCAATCTCTGCCACTTCACCAGAGGCACAGGTGGCTGAGCTATGATTTGGGTCCTAGTTTATCTAGCCTTCTCCCTGTGCCACACTGCTTTGTTTTATATCAATATTAAATGATTTTAAATTCTTTTGATTATAAAATCCAGACTAACTGGGAGAAGGAAGAGCAGTCAGGGAGATGCATCATGGACTTGCACTTCCTTCACAGAGTTCCTAGGATCATAATATGAACTAACCCCCTTGTGAGGCCAGTGTCTATAAGGTCCTTCCTTATGCAGTAGTATGTCAATCCATCCCGTCAACACTTCTTTGAAGTAGGCATGTCAGGTAGTATTAACCCTGGTTAAGATGGACAGTGAGGGTTCAGAAAGTCAAAACCTGTCACATCGTTGGTGAGAGTTAAGTATGCGACATCACGTCTTTGGTTTCTCATTTATTTAGTCTCTGGTCCACTGAAAAATGAACCTGATCCATCCAATACTGAGATTCTGATTCTGTTCACATGAGAACACACTGATGTGAACAGCATCTGGAAAGGCATGAGCTAGGTCTAACTCAACCCTGCAGCCTCACTTCCTGACACCCTATTTCAGACATGGGTCTGGCCAGACAAAGTGCTTGTACTCTGGACACACACAGCTTCAGGAAAGACCAGAACTGGCCCTACTGCCTGGAATCCCTCCTTGTCCTCTCCTCTGCCTACCCAGCTCAGCCATTCTTTTGCATCAAGACTGGGACCAAAAGTCACCTCTTTTTTTTTTTTTTTAAGATGGAGTTTTGCTCTCGTTGCCCAGGCTGGGGTTTAATGGCACAATCTTGGCTCACTGCAACCTCTGCCTCCCGGGTTCAAGCAATTCTCCTGCCCCAGCCTCCCAAGCAGCTGGGATTACAGGTGTGTACCACCATTCCCAGGTAATTTTCACCATGTTGGTCAGGCTGTTCTCGAACTCCTGACTTCAGGTGATCCACATGCCTCGGCCTCCCACAGTGCTGGGATTGCAGATGTGAGCCACAGTGCCTGGCCCAAAAGTCACCTCTTATTTGACCTATTCCCTACTCCCAGGGGAGAGCTGGTGCTGAAAAAGCCCTTGTCGGGGCCAGCTCTGCCTCACTCCAGCAAAGGCATGTGACAGGCTCTGGAGATAAAGGAAGCCTTGGAACCCCATCTCCCCACTGAAGCTGTCTGAACTTGGGGTCTGCTGATTCCAGGTGGACTCTTGGCCAATCCATGGACATGGCAGGGATCGGTCATGGTACATTTCATCTACTCTGTTTTTATTTATTTGTCCAAGTGGGAGGACGTTTAGAGATTAGACCTGTGTTTCTCCAAATGTGGTCATGGGGGATGGCTGGTGAGTTTAGCTGGTGCTCAGAAACTGAATTATGTATCTCCACATCACTTGGGGGAAGGAAGTCCCCTTCTAATTCTCTTTCTAGACCCCTGAATAATTCAAGAGGGAATTTTCATTTTGGTTCTAATATGTCCTTAATATCTCTCTGACATTTCAAATCTCTTCTTTAACAGAAGAAGAGCAATCCTTATGGTGACAGCCATTAGCAGGTAGCGGAATCCTGCTACAATTTAATAGCTTGTTTTGTTTGCATTGCAATTACTTTTTAAAATAAATTAAGCAAAAGTATTGTAAACCAAAAATAAAATTCTAAGGCTGCCCCAACCATCGGAATGGACTTCCTCCTCTGCCAGGGCATTGTTAAAATTTAACCTGCTAGACTAGTTTGGGTCATGACGGGAAGTAGGGGTCAAGCATGCCTCATTATATCTCCCCAGCAGTAACATCAACACAGACTTTAAGTCTGATAAGAAGCATTTACAATCTCTTCTCTCTGAAGCCTGCTACCAGAAGGCTTCATCTGTACAATAAGAATTTCGGTCTCCACAATCCCTTAACTGATAATTAGCCCTCTAGCTATCAGTGACATTCCCTTTGATCGCAGGTCTTCAGCTAAACTCAACCAATTGTTACCCAGAAAATTTTGAAATTTACCTATAACCTGGAAGGCCCCACTTCTAGCTGTCCCACCTTTCTGGACTGTAACGGTGTGTTTGTTAAACGTAATCCCAGCACTTTGGGAGGCCGAGGCAGACAGATCACCTGAGGTCAGGACTTCGAGACCAGCCTGGCCAACATGGAGAAACCCCGTCTCTACTAAAGATACAAAAATTAGCTGGACATGGTGGGGTGCTTTTGTAACCCCAGCTACTAGGGAGGCTGAGGCAAGAGAATCACTTGAACCTGGTAGGCAGTGGCTGTAGTGAGCTCAGATCATGCCACTGCATTCCAGCCTGGGCAAAAAGAGCAAAACCCCATCTCAAAAAAAAAAAAAAAAAAAAAAAATGTATTTGATTGAAGTCTCCTATCTTCCTAAAAAGTATAAAACCAAACTGTACCCTGACCACCTTGGGCACACATTCTCAGGATCTCAGCATCTCAGGAGGGCTGTATCATGGGCCATGATCACTCATATTTGGCTCAGAAGGTATCTCTTCAAATATTTTCCAGAAATTGACTCTTTTCGTCAACAATGTAATAAGATTTACCATTTTAACCATTTTTAGGTGTCTCAGTCAGTGGCATTAATTACATTCACATTGCTTCGCAGCCATTGCTACTATCCAACTCCAAAAGCTTTTAATGACTCTAAACTGGAACGCTGTATCCATTAAACAATAACTCTCCATTACCTCCACCTCCTTCCTCAGAGCCCAGACAAAACAGTCTATCTTCTGTTTCTATGAATTTGCCTATTCCAGGTACCTTGTATAGGTGGAACCACATATTTGCCTTCCGAGTCTGACTTATTTCACTCAGCATAATGTTTTCAAGCTTCTTGCATACTGTATGACACGTTCGAATTTTATTTCTTGTTAGAGCTAAATACTGTTTCATTGTGTGTGTGTATACCATTTTGTTTATCCATCCGTCAATGGACATATAGGTTCTTTCCATATGTTGTCTATTGTACATAATGTTATGAACATGGGTGTACAAATATATGAGCATCTGCGTTTAATTCTTTTGGGCATACACTAAGGAATGGAATTACTTCTACAGTCACTTTCTACAATATACAATACTGGTTTTTAAAAAAACTAACCAGAGTACTGATATAAAGTGAAAACAGGTCAACTTAAAGAGTATTAAGTAAATGTTTTTATTGATAGTGCATAGATATGGCAGAAATCATGAATGTATTTTCAGATAGCTGGAATCGGGAAAATCCTGATGTGGTCCAAGCCTGCTATGCCTATGAGGAATCCGGGATCTGGGAGGGAGTGTGATCTTGCGTAGATCTCTAGTTAGAACCAAGAGATCCCCATGTTTATGAAGAAGATGACAGAGCAAAAGGAAGTCGAGTGCATGACAAGGGGCAATAAATAAAGGATGTGTAATTTTTGTGTGTGTGATGAAGTCTAGCTCTGTTGCCCAGGCTGGAGTGCAGTGGAATGATCTCTCTCAGTTCACTGCAACCTCCGCCTCCCGGGTTTAAGTGATTCTCCTGCCTCAGCCTCCCAAGTAGCTGGGATTCAGGTGCCTGCCACCATGCCTGGCTAATTTTTGTATTTTTAGTAGAGACAGAGTTTCGCCATGTTGGTCAGGTTGGTTTAGAACTCCTGACCCTAGGTGATCCACCTGCCTCAACCTCCCATAGTGCTGGGATTACAGGGGTGAGCCACTGTGCCTGGTCAGAATGTGAAAATATTTTTTAGAGTCGAATTTAAGATTATGAGACCCTTTTTAGAATTAGGTAGAAATTAATATGTATATAAAGATAACAACAGAGCTTTAGGATACCGTAGGAATTTACCAGAGATATCCTGTACACTCTGCTTCTGATTAGAAATCTTCAAAAGCTCTGTAGCAGGACAGTGAGCAATAGCAGGATATGGGATGGATACCTGGAAAAGGCACATCCTCTGGGGCTTTACAGTGAAAGACTTGAGTAAGTAACATCCCAAGGTGATGGGGTAAAAGCGTACAAGATACAGTGAAAGCTTTATCCCCCACCACAGGATAATGTAAATGAAAAACGGTCCAAAAATAACCAATTGTAGGGAAGGAGCATATTTTAGAAAGAGACCAGAAAATAGATGAAGGACACACAAGAACACATCCGTAACCGTTTGCGTCTCTCTCTTCTTTACATCTCCATTGGGGTGGGGACCATAACCTCGACCACATTGTCTGGCACATAGTAACTGCTCAAATAATGGTTGCTGAACTGTTCAACTGAAATGAGTATGTCATACACAAATTTTTTGCTGGAAAAAAATTGCAACCTGTAAATCCCAGTTAACTCCCCATAAGATCGTTGGACGGCCAGAACATAAAACACATGTCTAAATATCTGCATTTTTGGATTAATTTTAAAAAATACTTTAGAATCTAGAAACATGCCAATCAAAGAATCTGGTGAGAGACCAATGTAGTATGTTATACAGCAACGTATTTAAAGATATGAAAATACTTAAAAATATTAAAACCCAGTAATATCCAGCCAGACAGGAAAAAGTTAAAGTCCAACATAAATAATCTCCTTTTGGGCACTGTTCAGGAAAGCTCTATTTAGATGCCAAGTACATCTAGAAGAACTTGGCGGAGATACGTCTGCTTACCTTTCTATCAGACCTTTTAGGGAAAGGTGGCCTCCAGCTTGTGTATTTATAGGGCGGTACATTTTCATGAGGGATGCAGCTGGCTGGAGACTGGCATCTCTGAGGAGAACAGGACTGCATGCCTCCTCTATGATCTGGAAAGGTTAAATTCACATTTCAGTTTGATTTTGTGACTGGTGCAGACTGTCCCCCACCTCCAAAAAGGAGCTGGAACCCTTTGCTACTTCCTATATCTGTGAGGATCTTCTCGGTCTACACCACTATCAGCTCACTCAGTGACCGTAATTCTGTTTTATTCTCTGGCTGTAGCTTTGCCCTTCCCCCTCTCTTTCCTTAGGGCGCTCAGAGTCATCTTTTAAAAATGTAATTCTGGGCTGGGCACGGTGGCTGATGCCTGTAATCCCAGCACTTTGGCAGGAGGAGATGGGCGGATCACCTGAGGTCAGGAGTTCGAGAGCAGCCTGGCCAACATGGTGAAACCCCATCTCTACTAAAAATACAAAAATTAGCTGGACATGGAAGAGCCCTCTTGAGGCTGAGGCAAGAGAATCACTTGAACCTGGGAGGCAGAGGTTGCAGTGAGCCTAGATCGAGCCACTGCACCGAGACACACACACACACACACACACACACACACACACACACACGGAATTCTGACTTTGCCACTCCCCTGGTAAAATTTCTGACATGATTTCCTTTCCACCTGGAAGAAAATATAAATGTTTCCTTCTGTCCATAAGGCTCTGAATGAACTGTCTATTCATGTTTCTCCATCCTCATCCTCATTCCTTCCCCAAGTGTCTACTCTATTCTGTATGTAATGAACTCTGTTCATTTTCTTAAACATCAACAGTTTGTTCCCTATTTTGGGAACACCATTTTTTTCAACTTGAAAAAATAACTTTAAAAAATGAAACATCATATTTTTTAACCCAAAGAATGACTGACAAACTATTGTTATTCTGACTTGGATATTTGACAGAAATGTTACTAAAAATAAACAAAGTGAGTCTGTCACTTTATAGAAAACAAGGGGCAGTATCTGTTACTGATTATAAAATCAGATTTTGCAAGCGCAAACTGGAATTTGAGGAATCTTGTATCTGCCACTGTTACATTTACACTTTTCTGATGTGGTGGGTGGTGCAAAAGTGATTTTAAAAATATATTACATAAAGGGCCGGCGTGGTGGCTCACACCTGTAATCCCAGCACGTTGGTAGGCCAAGGTGGGGAGATTACTAGGTCAGGAGTTCGAGACCAGCCTGAACAACATGGTGAAACTCCGTCTCTACCAAAAACACAAAATTAGCTGGGTATGGCAGTGCATGCCTGTAATCCCAGCTACTTGAGAGGCTGAGGCAGGAGAAATGCTTGAACCTGGGAGACAGAGGTTGCAGTGAGCTGAGATCATGCTACAGCATTCTAGCCTGGGCAACAAGAGCAAAACTCCATCTCAAAAAAAAAAAAAAAAAAATACATAATGACATATACCAACAGTGGAAGGCCTGTGTGTGTCCATTATCCATTATTTTCCAAGTGACCAATGTATGACGCTGCACAATCCTGCCTGCATAAAAGATAAATTCAAGTACAAGATAGACCGAGGGATTTTAAAGCAGCAGAATATAAGAAGTTCATTGATAGGGCTTTGGTTTCACATGACAGCTAAGCGTAAAGATACTTCCACTTGTCAAATGTTAATGTGGTATTTTCTCCATCCTCAATCAAAAGAGCTTCTTTTCATTGCATGTCTTTCCAGTCAATAATACTAACAAATATTTTTTAAAAATTTAGACCACAAACATGGAGTGAAGTATGAGAAGGAATACCAAGCAAAACATCTGTAAATGTATTGGCAATTGTAAGCAAGGGGTAACTATTTAAAAAAGATCACAAAACCTTGAGGATATACAAACATTAGGTAAGTAAAATACTAGGCAAAAATAACATATGAAATGAAAAAGATGTCATCAGAGTGAATACAGAATTATAAGCTTTTTAGTTGTAATTCATTATTAAAAAAACATAACCAAAGTTACGGTCATGGTTATCAACCAAACAAGAACTTTGAAAGGATGGTTTTTTTTTTTGATCTGGTAAATTTTTGAGATGAAATATTAATTAAACATTAGCAAATACATGCCATTTTCCGTCACATTTAGATTATATAGGCACTTATTCTGCTTCTTGTAATCAAAAAGCCAAATTTATCTACAAGTTTACTAAGAAGAACAGTACTTCTGATACATTGACAATTTTATTCTAATGAGAGCAATTATCGTAGCTTTTTATTTTCCCTCTGAAATGGAGTTTTGCTCTTTTTTTTTTTTTTTTTTTTGAGACAGAGTCTCACTCTGTCACCAGGCTAGAGTGCGGTGTTGTGATCTCAGCTCACTGCAATCTCTGCCTCCCAGGTTCAAGCAATTTTCCTGCATCAGCCTCCTGAGGAGCTGGGACTACAGGTGTGTGCCACCATGCCCAGCTAATTTTTGTATTTTTTAGAGAGACGGAATTTCACCATGTTGGCCAGGATGGTCTTGATCTCTTGACCTCATAATCTGCCTGCCTTAGCCTCCCAAAGTGCTGGGATTACAGGTGTGAGCCACTGCTCAAAGCCGAGTTTTGTTCATGTTTACCCTGCTGGAGTGCAATGGCACAATCTTGGCTCACTGCAACCTCTTCCTCCCAGGTTCAAGCAGTTCTCCTGCCTCAGCCTCCCAAGTAGCTAGAATTACAGGTTCCTGCCACCACACCCAGCTAATTTTTGTATTTTTAGTAGAGTCAGTGTTTCCCAATGTTGGCCAGGCTGGTCTTGAACTCCTAACCTCAGGTTATCTGCCCACGGCCTTCCAAAGGGCTGGGATTATAGGCGCCAGCCCGAGTTTTGGTACAAACCATGTTCTTGGTGGATGTTTGTTTACTGAAACAGGAATTAATGAAGACTCAAACATTTCCCGCATCTATCCCAGGCTTCTTTCAGTAACCTGTTTCCTCTGAGATAAGGTGAGGTGAGCTGAGAGCAACCTAAGCAACCCCAGTACAAATGATCTACTTATAGCCCTGGGACGCTTGACTGGCCAGACTCATGTCTGTGAAGGCCATTTCCATCACTCCATTCCATTATTCAGTTGCTCTTTATTTTTTATTTGTGCATGATTTTATTTTATTTTTGAGACAGAGTCTCACTCTGTCACCCAGGCTGGAGTTTGGCTCACTGCAACCTCCGCCTCCCAGGTTCAAGCAATTCTCCTGCTTCAGCCTCCTGAGTAGCTGGGATTACAGGCACACATCACCACGCCTGGCTTATTTGTGTATTTTTAGCAGAGATGGGGTTTTTCCTGTGTTGGCCAGGCTGGTCTCCAACTCCTTATCTCAGGTGATCCTCCCGCCTCAGCCTCCCAAAGTTTTGGGATTACAGGCGTGAGCCACCATGCCCGGCCAATATTATATTTCAAGTTAAGATTCAGGATTCCTTTCTAGGCTATGATTCTGCTTCCCCATCCTTGCAAGGAAACCTCTATAAGTATTGCCCCTTCTTGGCCTGGTCAGCCCCTGGACTTTCCTCTGGATGCTCCAAGTCTTTTCATCTTCATCCACCTAGATCTGACCTTTAGGACTCCCGTTCCTGACATTTGATGACTCGGGATTGAGTCCATTGGGTTTATCTCAGCCCTCTTTGGGCTCCTTTTAAATAAGGGAATCATCTGTTGGGAAACTCATTAGCAATATGTATATGAGAGGAAGTGAATTGATAAGCTTGGTTTTCCAGCCTCAGGTCCAGATGGCATATGGAGAAATGATATGAAGGAAGGCATGATGGAAGCCAGTGACACAACTTTTAGGTCTCCCCGGGTCAGTTGGATAGGAAGAAGAAAAGAGAATGCAGAAAACAAGAAAAGACATTAAAATGTATCAGTTACCTACTATGTGGCAGGCAGAGGGCTGTGTGTGTGTGCGCGCGCGCATATATTAATATGAATATATCAGTTAACATTACTACTTGAATTTTATGAAAGGGGAAATGTGGAACTTAAATAATTAACGTGTTCAAAGCGATCTTAGTATAAGGAGAGAGGCAGAATTAGGAGCAGGATCACTAGAGCCCTCATCCTCTCCACAATACTTTGTGGGCTTTGCTTCCCCCAGGCCTAAACTTCTCCAGGCCTCCAGGCCCTTTTTTGTGTGTGTGTGCTCAACAAAGAGAGATTCCAGTGCCAGATGTCGACACAGAGTCCTCATGGCACACAGAGTGAAAAAAAAAGAAATCCAAATGGATATGATGAATCTAGTTTGTGCAAAATAATTCATAGTATCAACACCCACCACAAACAGTCACATAACTCTGTATTTCCATGCCGCTTCAGACATCGCCACAGATGGGATATCCTTTTGGTTTTTAACTTTACAAACAGTAAGAGGTGTCCGTTTTATTTTCTTCATTTCACAGATTTTTCTTGAGACAGGTTTGCTTTGCACCCAATGGATTGGGAAAAATTAAAAGTTTGTCAAAAACAATTGTTGGAGAGTGTGGGGAACAATGGGGACTCACACTCGGTGAGACTAATTAATGTCTACCTTTGCAAAACACGTCTAGGGCAGTTGAAGAGATGCATAGCCTAAGACAGCCATTTAAGTCTTATGTAGGGAAGTGATCACATTGTATACATGGAAGACATCTATACCAATGTTCATAGCACAATATTCACAAGAGGAAAAACTAGAAACTGCCTAAGTAACCATATTTAATCATGGATCAAAACTATGTCATAGTAACACAATGGGAATGAGCTAATTACATCTGTACACGTCAGCTCAGTGACTCTGGGGTTCACAACAGTTAAGTCACAGTGCAGCGGTATCACAGTATCATGGCTTACCCGTTTATTTTATAATTCTTAAAGTGCTCTTACCTCTGTTTTGCACATTGTGGTCGCTCGTTATGAATGAAGAACTGTAAGAAAATATGTTAGAATTCAAAGAATGTCAGTATTTCCCTTGATGGTAAAATTCCACGCAGAGGCAGGGTCAATGATAATAGCCTGAAGTCACATTTATAAGGCACTTTATATCTTACTGGATATGCTAGAAGAATCATTTATTTTGAAAGGCACTAGGAGGCATGTTCTCCTCCTTTCTGAAGCTGGCAATATTAGACATGGAACAAATTGCCCATATAAGTTCTTCTCATGTCTTTTCAGTGAGCACGTATCATTATTCTTTACTTTTTGGAGCCATGAGTTTAAACTTGGTTTGTAACTACAAACCGTATTTTGCTGGTTGGGGCTTATAGTCTATAGAAACTATTTACTAACTGAAAGTCAACTGTAGAGTGGATGAAGAATATAGAAATTATTGTATTACTTCCAGAAATACGAGCTAAGAAAATTCAGTGATTATAAGAAACCCCCAAAGAAAAAGAGATTATAAAACTATAAGTCAAATAAAATAACAATAGGGATTTCTAAATACAAAAATGATGCTACCAGGACTGTTCATCAGTGGCTTTTCTTAGCACTCTGCTTACTACTTAGCTATAATTTTCTGGTTCATTTTGTATCGTGGTCAGCATCAATATAAGCTGCAGGTGCTACTACAGTTAAATCTAATTATATGAGAGACGCTCTATTTCAAGGACTGTGCTATTGACTAAAGCCTCTGGGTTAATTAAATGAAACCTGATCCATTTCTAGCGCCAGTGAAATCAACTGAGCATATATATGGTTTATGTTATCACCATAAAAGCCTGGGGTCATGTGTTTTGTTTTGTAGATAAAAACACCAGCAGTTCATCCAACCATCACACTACTCTGTCATTGCCAGTCAGACTTCTGCTGAAATTCAAGATTTGACTCTGTTAAAACTGGAATCCTTTTACTAGCAGCCAGTGTACAATTTTGTTAAATGTCTGGGAAAAAGTAGGGAATAGCAAAATTTTTCTGCTCTACTAGTTTAGGATTTTTAGAAAATGTTGAAAGAACAGAAATATCCTCTGAGGATATCCAAGAAGTACATAGTTGATAGGAATATGAAGGGAAAAAATAAAGGCAAAATAATTAAAAAATTTAAAAATGATGACTTTTTCATTTAACAAACATGTTGGACACTTACTAGGCACAGTATGGTATGTTCTAGGGAACAGACAATGAAGAAGATACGGCCTCTGCCTGAATGAAGCTTACTTTATGAAAGAAACACGTCCTTGTACCATAATTATAATGTCTAATAAATGTTATGGTAAAGGTGTGCATAGCATAAGTTTTTGTGGTAGTAAAAGGTCATGTAAACAAGACAAAATTGCTTTTGTTCTCAGGAAAGGCTTTGTGGGAGAAAGGACTAACTGAGTGGACCCCTGTGTGAACAGGAGTGAGAGTGTATTCCAGGCAGGTGGAGCAGCACATCAAAGGCCCAGAGGCAAGGAGGAGAGAGTATTCCAGGCAGGTGGAGCAGCACAGCAAAAGCCCAGAGGCAAGGAGGCATGGCCTTTGATGCAAAAGACCAGAAAGCAGTTCCTTCTAGATGAAAGGCAGGATGTGGCGATGATCAGCATCACTAGAAGGCTAGCGCAACAGTCCAGGCTAAAGCTGATGGTGGCTGGGCCATGCAAGGAGCTAGGCGAGTGGGGAGGAAATAGACACATTCAACACACGCTTTAGAGGTATAATTTTGGGAGTTGAAAGTGGATGGGATAGGAGGAGTGAAGATGGGAAAGAGAGCTTACTGTGTTTACCGGGATGAAAAGCTTTGCAGAAAGATATTACAAGTTTGGGAATGAGACTAGAAATGAAGAGTTCGATTTTCACCATTATGAGTTTGTGCTGCCTGGGACTTAGCTAAGGAAAACTGCTCGAGGGGTCCCTAGATACACAGGTCTGGAGCTAAGAGAGGTGGTTTGCTGAAAATAGTGATTTGGGAATTATCAACACAGGGCTGACATTTGATGCTCGGGATAGATGTGGTTACACAGACCTTAGTGATAGTAAAGCGGACCTCGGATGAACTCTGAGGAATACCAACATTTAGAAGTCAGTTTGGGAAAAAGTCCAAGATGAGGAATTAGAAGAAGCAGCCAGTTAAGAGAGGAGGAAAAATCAAGAGTCTTAATTCATCAAATTAAACAAACAAACAAAAGAAGTGAATGAAACCGCATCAAATAACTGCTACAACTTGAGAACTTGTTATGTTTCCACTGCACTATACTGTGTATATTTTTTCCTTTTAGAAAATTACATTAAGAAAGGGGGCCGGGCATGGTGGCTTATGCCTGTAATCCCAGCACTTTGGGAGGCCAAGGTGGGTGAATTGCTTGAACCCAGGAGTTCAAGACCAGCCTGGGCAACATGGTGAGACCCATCTCTACAAAAAATACAAAACTTAGCTGGGCATGGTGGTGTGCACCTGCAGTCCCAGTTACTCTGAGGGCTGAAGTGGGAGGATCGCTTGAGCCTGGGAGGTCAAGGCTGCATTGAGCTGTGGTTGTGCCACTGCAGGACAGAATAAAACCCTGCCTCGAAAGAAGAAGAAAAGAAGGAGGAGAACGAGAAGGAGAAGGAGAAGGAGAAAAGAGTATTATAGTTTTGTATTTAAGCTTTTCGGAACTTAAATACCAGACAGCCCCCAAAGCACAATGAAGCTGCATGTCCCAGTACCCATAGGCCAAGAAATGAGAACAAAGTTACTGAAGGTGCCAGATGGGACCAGGGAAGAAAGTTAAGGAGGGGAAAGGAATAGGATATGGTGATCTGTGATCATGGCCCCTGATATACAGGGCCTGGCAAAAGGAATGACAGCTAATGTTCACTGGGCTTTTACAACATGCCTGACTGCCCTAAGTGTCTCATGTAAGATAGTGAAGTCGCCCAAGTCACATGGTTCACTGCTGATAAAAGTCAGGCAGCCTGACTTCCGTGCTGCTCTTCATTCTGTTTCACCACAAACATCGTACATTCCCAGTAAATACTTATTGAATAGATCAAAGGCAGCATTTTAGCCATGGGCAGTCACCAGGGATAGTCAGGATTTATGGGCTGCATGTTTAAAATCAAGTCCTTATGGGCAGCACTGGCTACGGAACAGTGCTTGGGCTTCGAGGCTGGGCTTGGCTTCCGTGGTAAAGGGCTCAGTATTTCTCAGCTTCATGTTTTTCATCTGAAGAATGGAAACAAATTATCTCCTGGATTCATTAAGCTTTAAGCTGGATTCCATGGAGGAACAGGAGTTTTCCAAGTAGGGAGAGGGTGGAGAGGAGCAAATATGGGGCAGGTGCTACCGGCAGGGGCATGGTGTGCGCCAGTGCCATGCATGAAGTGGCGCTGTGGCTGTTGGAAGGCATCTGATGAGGCTGCAGTGCCGAGAGGGAGGGGAGAGTGGCTTGAACTGAGGTCAGAGCCACTGGCCAGAGTGAGATCATGAGGGCCTTTCGGCACTAACACCGGAGGCCCTGGATTCTGTTTTAGGGCAGTCACTACTAATTTAGTGACTTTGGGCAATGAATTACCTGCCTGAGCCTTGGCTTCTTTAACTCTTCAGTTGGGCTGACGGTTGTCACAGTAAGTAGTGCAGGCAAGGATCTAATCTGATGATGGCACTTTCAACAACACTTGGTCATCTATTCATAAATCGCTCTTCAGAAGTAACTGAGCTTTGGCGTGGTCATCAACCCGGAACAGTTTGAAACAACCGACTTTTCCTCCCAGGCTGACTAGCAGCCTTTCCAGTTCATCCTATCTGATTCATATTTACTCCTTAGAATGCCCCAAACTTCTATAACAATCAATCATTTATAAATTTCAGAAAGAACAACATTATTAAAATCAGTAACAGCTGTGATTCACAAGTTTCTCTTGAGCCTCTTTATTGGGCTTCAGAAAAAAGACTTCTGTTTCTCAGAAAGTCTTAGTGATCCATTTATCCAAGACAGCACATGGCCTGACCCCCAGCCTGAGACCTGAAAAGGGATTCCTGGCTCCTTACCTGCTAATGGCAAGTGGAATCTCTTGAGTATTTTTGTTTTGCAACAGATGAGTTGATTTGGGCTTCCTCTGGTTATGAGGAACTATATAAAACAGTGACATAATTTGGTCAGATTGCAAAATAAGAATAATTGAGAACCAGTAGAAGCCCCCTGGAACTACTATAATTTTCTCCATGTAATCTCTGATTATTAGGAGGGGGCTCTTGATGGTCAGTGGAAACTGTAACTCACGTGTATTCTATAACTCTTCTGGCTCCTGAGTGTGACTTTTTCTGAGGTTATAAAAATTGCTTTGAATCTTTAACAAGCTAAAACACATCATTGAACCTCCCAGAAAGACAGAATGTTTCGTTGGAAGGTATTTAGGGATTATTCTGGACCCGTGATTTTGAAAGATTTTTAGTTTCAGTCTCATTCATTCATTCATTTATAGCATTTGACAGATATTTACTGAATAGCCGCTATGAGACAAGTACTCAGCCAGAGTCTGGGAATACAGTGGAGAAAAAGAAAGACATGGTTCCTACATGCTAATGAAGGGAAACAGAAAATAGCATGCAAGTAGGTCAAAAAGAACATTTCTACTAGGCAGTACAAGTGATATAAAGGAAATAAAGTACTGCTTTGGGATACAGAGTGACTATCTGTATGGCTAGAGAGACCCTTCTGAGAGATGGCATTTGAGCTGAGAGCTTCACAAGAAGAAAGTTAAAGGAAAGGACTGTTCTGGATGACGGAGGAGATCGGGGTGCCCCACTGGTCATGGTACTTGTATTCTCATGTCCTCCTGTGACAGGGCAGGTGATCTCCCAGGGTTCTGATGTAGATCAGCCGTTCCTACCTGGTTCCAACCAGGGATACAGTTTCTCAATTTTTTCCTTCCTCGATCATCAAATTTTTAAAAGTTCTGCCAACCATACAATCTGGAGTTATTTAGTAATTACATATGCAATTGATGTTACTGCTTTTTATTTTCTTTTCATTACAGATAGATTTAACTAGCCATCCAGAGTTGCCAAGGGCACATCATAATACTACGATATAAAATCTCATAAAACACTCTTCCAGTTGTGACCATAAGTAATAAAGCTAAGGATGCACACAGGCACCGACATATTTTAATTGTGACTGTTGCTCTGTACTCTGCCCAAGGTTCATCACAAACTGGACACCTTTGACTGAAGGACTGTGATTACTTGAAATGTGAGTCAGTGACTGGTCCATTAATCATGCATCCCATAAAATCACTTCATGTCATCAACAGCCACCCAGAGTATCTGCCCCTGTTGAGCTGAAAAATGCCACATTGTTGTGTTAATAACCATTGTTGTGTTACCTGATGAAACTACCCGAACTACCTGAACATTTTAGTCAGGATGTTGACCTTTGTTGTGGGAAAGGGCATGTTTCAGTTAGGCTTGTGAATTATTTAGGCTTGCCAACAAACTCCTACTCCTCCATCAGGGACCCATGAGGAATCCATAAACCTAAGTTAGGCCTCCCTTCAAGTTTAGCTTTGTCAACATATAGAGAAGAGCTGACCTGAGAGTCACAGAGAAAAAGCTACTCGAGCAAAACCATACAGTGAATTGGTGGCAAGCCTCTGAAATCCTAACCTAATGTTGCTCTGTTGAACTATGTTGTCTCTTGCAAACTCTTTGGTCTGTGATGCAGGCCCTTTGCCTCTGGACATAATTCAGCATTCTAGAGGAATGGAGAACAGGATTTCAAAGGTGAATATGAAAATACTTCCTGCTTAGCATCCTGCCATTTAGGATATGAGTGACCTTGGATTGCATACTTGCACAGCGACACCAACACTGTAGAGGTATGTGCATGTGTGTACTTGTATGTGTGTGTACATGAAAGAGGCATGTGTGCGTGCATGGCTAACATCAGAGGCAGAGATACCAAGAGCTTCTTTGGAGCAGTGGACCAGCGATGTCTTTCCAAAGTGGTAGAGGGTGACAGTATAATGCCTTTTGGTCAGTAACCTATGGCTACAGAAAGATGTGTGGCCTACCCTGGATTTAAATCACCAGTTTAGACTAGAGGACTCATGATCCTCATGCACACACATGCATCCCCATTTCACACTTCTAAACAGTCCATCCTTTTCAGTAACCATAAACACCGTAGATCTAGAAACAGAATCCACTCTATCAGTATTAGGGTAAGAAAACAAATGTAAATAATTCACCTTTTTCTGCTTCAAGGACCTGTATTGAATTAAAAACAAATGTTTACTGACATTGATGATAGAGAATTTAATATAATACCCTGTGTGTTTTAGAGCTTTCGGTTGGTAGAATTTTGGTAAAATTTTTGTTAGCATAGTTTATATTCTTAAAAAAAGCGAAATTCCTCAGAAACCTAAACAAAAATTAAACATTTTTAATCTTTGTGTGAAGGAACAGACAAGTCCACAGTCTGCTGATGGGACTACCTATCGTTTTGACTCTTTCTGAAAGCAATTTACCATAATTATAAAACTCTTTAGAAATACTCTTATACTTATCTCAATAATTCCATCGATGAGACTCTAAGACATGACCTGAAATCTGAGCCATGTTCTATGCACAAAGATGTTTATTTCATTATAACTTTACAGAGTTAAATCATTAAAAACAATCTACATGCCCAGATAAGTGAAAATCGTTAATTTTGGTGCTATACTCACTTACTAGAATATTATAAAGACATTGTAAGTATTTCTGTCGAGAATGAAATAGGATTATAAGTATGCATCCATGTTACGTGAAAAGTTTGAAATAAAAACTGGACCCATGATATATTTTTATGTGATTATATTTTATACCTATGTATATTTGCATGCAGAAAAAAATGATTGGAAGTAATATGATCGAATACTAGTAAAGGTTGTGCTTAAGCAATAAGGCTATGGTTAACTTTTTTTTATACTTGCTCTGAAATTTTTATTTTTTTAAAAAGGAAATAGTTATGTTATCCTTTTTAAACGTAGCCATTTATCTTCCTAAACATTTTCTTCTTCCTTCCTTCCTGATGGTGGTAGAATTCTTGATCATCCTTCATTACGAAAATCTTCATGCTTAGTGGGCTTGTATATTGGGGCCCTACTCTAACCTTGAAGAAGCAAAAAGCATTACAGTAGGTACCGTGTTTGCTGCAGTGTTTATTTAACTGCAAATAACTTTATGAAGTCTATCTATAAATTGCATCAGTTGAGGAGGACCTCAGGTATCATTTAGATAAGAACTGCTTTAACCAGGGGGATGAAAGAGATCACTGAATGGCCTAGGAGGGTCCAGGAACCTTCTGAAATGAAAAATTATTTTTTTTCTCTATAAGTATGTGCATTTATTTTTTTTCTTTTTCTGGGGTGAGAAAGGTTTATTATACCTTTCATCAGATTTTCAAAGTGGTATGAGGTCCATGAAATGTTAAAAACAGTTGGTTACAGATGAGGTCCCAAGGGGTCATGCCATTCACTGAGATTCCCGCAGTCATCTGAAGGCTAAACTGACCCTGAGCCCAGCTGTCCTGACTCATATTTGCTTCATAGATAAGAAACTTTTGGCAGCAAATTGTGTAGAGAGGCACTGTATATCTCTTCCGAAGCCAGCCAACAGAGAAGGCTTTTTATTTCAAAGACTTTGGCATTCCCTAGGATTCTGGAAAGAGGACATACATTTCATTATGGACAGAAAATCAAAGAAAATCTATAGGCTAAGTAAAAAGGGTAATGAATCCATCCTAATGAGAGGTTGGAAAGTATGCCTACTGAGTCTCCCCCGGGTCTTTGAACCTGGTTGTTCAAAGTGCTCAATCAGAAGCAGCAGTTGCTCTCAGGCTTGTCAAAGGTAAGGGGAAGAAGAGATTGGAACAGTGCTGAGAATCCCTCAGTCCGAGGGAGCAGTTGTTTTCTTTAACTGAGACCAACCAACTTTTTGCTTGAGGGTTACCGAATTTAAAATCAAATGTAGTTAGAAAAGTAGAATGAAATCGCTCATTTTTCTTCTGTAACTTTTTTATTGTTAGAAAATAGTCAAGTTAAATAGTAGTATCTCTTTTATGATCTCGCTCCCTCTTTCTTTTTCCTTTTTTCTTTCTTTCTCCTCCCTCCTTCCTTCCCTTTTCCTTCCTCCCTTTCTTTCTTCCACCCTCTCTGCCCCCTCCTTTCATTCCTTCCTTCCATATTCTGTTTAGTTATTTTAGCTCAGAGGTATTTCTGTATTTTTTTAAGGCAGAGAGACATGGCTGTGGGGAAGACACCTAGACCTTGGGATTGCCAGGACTGGCCCTATCTCCTGCCAGCTATAAGGACTGGCCAAGTTTGCCACCTCTCTGGGATTTCATTTTTCTCTTAGGGCTTTGTGAGTACAAAATGAAACGAGTCTTTCCTTTTTCTGAAAACTATCAAATGCCATGTGAACATAAAAGATTCCAGTCCACAAGATAGCATTCAGGCAGGCACTGAGTGCAGGCACAAACAGTTTGCCCTGATGGGCTTTTGTCACGAAGAAATGGTCTTGAATCTCAGCCCAAACAAACAATGGGGAAATGTCTTGGCCAAAGATAAGGAGCAAGCATGTGTTTTTTCCATTAGACCTTCTTGTTCTTTAGACAATATCAACTTCTAGCAGAATGCCAACTAACGCTGAAAAGAAAACAAACCAGCCTGCACACTTCCTGCCATCTAAGGCTGACTCCCTGTCCCCTAATTCCTTTTTGCTTGTTTGTGATTGGAGGGCTTACCGTCCTCTCAGACTGACCAGTGGGTTGTGATTTGAGGTCATTGTGAGTAGCAGCCAACTACCACTGTAGATACCCAAGCCTGCCTTATAGGAAGAAGCGGGTGGAGTCCTGGATTCAGGCACCTTGGATGTGTGGAATCCCCCAGCAGCTGAGCATCACCCCAGCCTGCTCCTTCCTGGAGACACTAAGGAAGTACAACCCCTCCCAGAATAGCATGAGCCTGGGGAAGTCCTCAGTGGAACCAGAACTGTTCTTCTCATCAAGTAGTTATGTATGTTATCTTTCTTGACATGATTGTCTTGTGGGTTAGGGAGATTAGGGTTAGTAAATGTCTTGTTTGAGTGACAAACTAGAAATGTGAGTTTTTGATTTTAACATTCTCATAAAACCAACAAAGGAGAAAGAAAGCAAGGAAAGAAATTTACGTCTATGATCTAGAGGAGAGCATTGGTCAAATACAAAGGCAAGAACAAAATTCCTTCGAGTCCAGTGGGGGTGAGTTGAGGCCACTTGTGCTGTGGGACAGTCTTATCATCAGTAATGGTGACCCCACTATCCTCTTAGTGAACTTCCTCTTTGGACACTGAAGGGAGTCAGTCCCCTTGGAAGGCTCTACTACAGCTCTCTCGCACAAGACTTTCATGCCATGTATTGAGCCTCTACTTGTCACTGGCCATTTATGCACTTGCTGTGACTTTATCACATCAACTTTGCACAGAAATGTACCCATCCCTATGTCATGGCTGAAGAAGCAGAAACTCGGGTGATTGGGAGTATTTTCTGAAGTTTACCAAGCAAGTAGGTGGCACAGCAGGATTTCAACCAGGTCTTGTGCAACGCGGAATCTCATGTTCCTTCTACTTTGCATTCCTGTCTTTCTTATGAAGGACAAACAGCAAAGTGCAATACAATTTCTAACACTTTATTCCTGTAATGCTAGACACTGGAAGCGATCAGTAGATACTGGATATCTTCCATGTGGAACTGGGCACCTTGAACCCTGAATGTCCATGGTGGCCAAATAGGATCTTGGTTTAAAATCTGGAGCTAAACTTGTTTTACTTTCGCTTTCTCATCTTTAAAATCGAGATACTAATGCGTTTTGAGCATAGCTATTGTGAGAATTAAGTGTAATAAAGTGTCTGAAGGAAACAGAATCTTGCCTATTGCAGACCTTTAATGCTTCCAAAGTCCCTTCTTTGTTTCCAAGGATAAAATTGCTACTTACCTCACTTAAGTCCCTGAAGCTTATCTGACTACAAGAAAAAGAAATACAGTGTTACATAAAACATAGTTCATAATGACTGAGATACAATCATTCTGAGCCTTACAAACTTTTGATTACATTTTCATTGCCAAATTAACAGCCCATAGTCCAGTGTTTATCAATGTTCCATAAAACTAAAGCCAGGTTATTTTTCTCCTAATTTTCTATGGAAAAGACAAAGTTAAGAGCCAAAATAAAAGGTGGTAATAGAAAGGGCATGAATAAACTTGCGTCTCATTTTAGGAGAAATTGAAAAACATCATCATTTCTCCTGACATTTGATTTCCTACGTCAAGTTTCGTTAGCACGTCAGACCTGTTATTAACTTGGTTTTCAAGCTCTTAGTTTTTTACTTTGAGGGAACATGAAGAGTTTTCAATATGAAGCTGTCAGGTGCAGTGGAATCCCAGGAAGGCAAGTGTAAGAGAAAGAATGCTGATAAAGAGCGGAGAGAGGAAAAAGATGGGAAATTGAATGGTAGAGAAAAAATTCCAACATGGAATTGAATAATGTGAATTTTGGAAAGGTCTCAGGATAAACTTCAAGCTTTTCATTCTATTGGCAAGTCAATTAACTTCTCCAAACCTCATTTTTTTTTTTTTAATCTGCAAAATGGCAGCAAGAGTACTCATGCGTGTTACTGTGAGAATTGCTAGAAATAAAAAGTAATGATGTTGGGGCCTGCTGCGGTGGCTCACACCTGTGATCCCAGCACTTTGGGAGGCTGAGGCAGGCGGATCACTGAGCTCAGGAGTTCAAGACCAGTCTGGCCAACATGGTGAAACCCTCTCTCTACTAAAAATACAAAAATTACCTGGGTGGTGGCACCTGTTTGTAGTCCCAGCTACTCGGGAGGCTGAGGCAGGAGAGCGGTTTGAGCCCTGGAGGTGGAGAAGTTGCTGTGAGCTGAGATTGTTGAGTGCACTGCAGCCTGGGTGACAGAGTGAGATGCTATTTCAGTCAGTCAGTCAATCAATCAATAACAATGTTGGGCATTCACTGTGCATTGTTGTCAGAACGTGGTCAATGGTGAAGAAACTGTGAAGGGAGTGGAGTGAGGGTATACATTCCAACTCCCCAGCTCTGTCAGTGAAAACACCAGATCTGAGGAATATGGGAATATTCAGTGTGCTGATGATCACGGTTTAAAGCTATTGATCTAGAGTTTTAGGAGTCAGGCTGTATCACGTAGGATGATCCCAGAGACATACAGTGCTCAGATGCTAGATCCTGGCCTCAGATCTGCAATGGGCAACTATACTGAGGTTTCACAGTCTGAGCCTCTTACATCTTACACCCTCCCTCCCCATTTTAGTTAGAAACCTGAGAAGACAAAGAGATTTGAATAGAGGTAATGAAGTAGAACAAACAGCCAGAGTATTAATTATTTTGGGGTTAAAATGTGGCTAATCTCAGTATTAATGTTTAAGAAGCCAGCATATTAAGGAAACTGACAGATTGGCTGTATGGCTTCAATTTGAAATGTAGATTTGAAGTTAGTTAGAAGAGTCAAGATGTGTTTGTTTCCATTTTAAAGAGTTTGAACTGTTTAAGAGAAATTATTATTTTTTTTAATTTATACATTTACTTTACTGGATTTACAGAAATTGTTAAAGTTTTGTTGGCTAGCATTTAAACCTGCCCTGTCAACAGTAGACGTACTTAAAAATCAAGTACATTAAGTGTATGAAGATATTTCAAATATTTAAGAAGATTTAATTGAGTTTGTAACAGTTTTACTAAGATTCTTTAACCTATCTCACTCTAGTTGGTTGAACATTTGTGGAAGAATAAGCAGAGTGACTGTCTTTCTGTTTGGATAAAATCACTAGATTTATAAATAGGGCAATACACTTTATAGATTGAAATCTGAGGATTCAGGAAAGCTAGGGCTTGGAATGTGCAGCTTTCATAAATGGAATTTTAACTGAGAACCCAAGTGATGGTAAGAAGGCATTTCTGTGCAAACAAGAGTTTCTAACTCTTCGAGAGCTTTGAACACATGTTTGTGCAAGTTCTGTCCACTGAAGATGGCCAAAAAAACCACGGTCATTAATATTTTCACAATTTTTTCCTGTGCATAAGAGGTCCTCATTACAAAGATAAGTATATTACCTTTTACTATAAATACAGGCCTTCCTGAGACTCCCTTAGTTTTTGGCTTAGTTTTAAATGAACTTTATTCTTGCTCTGTCATCTGTGGGTTCTGTCACCCTGGATAAGTTAAATTCTCTCTCTGAAGCTTAGTTTTCCCACATGTAAAACTGATAAATCCAGACAGTAGTGAAGAGAATTGTTGAAGGTTCTAATGAAAGAATGTGATGTGGAAACTATTTGGAATGAGATAACACTCTACATTTGCAGAACATTTTAACGTTCACATTTGCTTTTTAGTCTGAGATAATTATGGATTCCCGTGCGGTGGTGAGAAATAATACAGAGCATTTCTGTGTACCCTACACCCAGTTCCCCCAATGGCAACAACCTAAAAAACAGTAATAATAATGAAGTGTGTACTTTAAAATCAATAGTTTCCATTCATAAATACAAATCTGTGTATCTCCATAACCGTACATTCTATTAAGAGATCATGGTTTCTTGATATCTATAAAGTTTTTTTGTTTTCACTTCCCAAATCATCAGAGCATATATTTTTGCAGTAGCGATTGCATGAATTGATGTGATGCCGGCATTGCTGGTTGTAAAGGGAAAGCTGGTTGGGTGCATTGACTCACACCTGTAAACCCAGCACTTTGAGAGGCCAAGGCAGCCAGATTGCCTGAGGCCAGGTGTTTGACCAGCCTGGACAGGAGTCTCAGTGAGGCCCCTGCCTCTACTTAAAAAAGAAAGAAAAAGAAAATGGAAAGCCACAGTTAGGCAAGGGGGTGTTTTGTTTCTTAAAGATTGGGTCCTCCATTTAAATGATATTTTGGCCGAACCCTGCACCTTGGGCCATTGCGGGTACTAAAGCTTAAAGAACATATGAGACAATGACCTCTCAATTTCTTCATTTTTATCAGTAAATTGGAGATAGTAATATCGATTTTTTCATAGTGCTGTTTTGATACTAAATGAATTAACACATAAAAGACTTCACACTGGGCTTGTGTGTAGTTACAACTCAGAAAATGTTGTTGATTGCTCTTGCTGTTACTTAGGATGATTTTACTTGGTGCATGGACAATCGTATTAAAACTGCAACTGATCCATCATAGAAAAGTTATTCCCTTTTTAATTGTCTTTCATATTATGTCAAGGAGAAAGGCTCAATGCAGTGGTTAGTAGATATGAAACACCCTTCTAATATTTGCTTACTTTCCCTTTTATCAGAGGGAAAGTTCCCCAGAGCTCAAAGTTTCAGTTTGAAGCTATCTTTATTGAAGTTATTTATGATAATTATGTCTTTCTTTTAAGTAAATTTATTTAAGTTGAAAAAATGAGCAGAGCAGGAAAATCGTTAAGTACACGGACAGTGTAAAAATCATAATGATGGAGGGTAAGTGGTTGAGAATGCCCAGCCAACATTCTCCAAAGTTCCCTTCTGGTTTTGAGTTGTCAATGAATGACTGGGGTGACGTGTTCCTTTGCTGAATGGCTTCAATTCAGTAATTGTTTTGTGAAATCAAGGCTTAGCTTTAAAAAAGAGAATAGCAGAGCTGGCAGAGACAAATGGGGCCTGAAACACAATAGCTGGAACCACAGCGGCCAACCAGGGAGAGCACAGCCTGCTGCAAAGGACTGTAGCTGTCTAACTGCCTGCACTGATAAAGTTGATTGCCAGATGTAAATCTTGGCCTCTGCCTTAGGGAAGGCAGTTCATTTCAGTGCCTTACCAACAGCTGGCAGAGAGGGGGCAGGCACTCTGCTGCATGGTTCGGCTGCAGAAGCTCTGATTGCCAAAGTTCCGTCTGTTTTCAGAGCAATATCCTTATGTGGTTGATTACATGGGACTTGGGCATCACTAATGATGATGTTACTACCCATGTGGGCCCTGCTAAAAAATGAATTTGAAAGTACATCTCTTACTTTCAGAAGCAAAGCTGTCGCATTTATCGTGGTATCCCCAGTGTCTTATATGGGGCTGTGCAGGTTTTTTTTCTCCCCTAAATAGTCAAATGGCAACCCTGTGATTTTGAGTTACCTAACTTCTTTGAAGCTTGGTGCCCAATGAGTAGGGAAGTACTATTTTTCTGAGCATGTATGCCATCCACTGAACTAGGCACTCTACCCTTTCAAGGCTTAGGAAACCATACTTTACAAGTCTGGTGGAAAAATTCAATAAGAGGAAATGTAGTTACTCTCTTGAGGTGTTTTAGTGAAGAGATCCAGCCCGATCCTCAACACATCTAAAAATGATTAAATAAATGCAAACTATAACTACAGGACCCCCAGAGATATCAAATGCAACTTCTAAAGACGTCAACATCACCAAGACAGTGACCCAATAGACTGGTGCGATTTGGGCCCACAGAGGGATGCATTTGGCAGTCGAGTGAGCATTATGTGAGACTCCGGAAACTCGGGCACAGATAAGGCTTAAACACCTTCAAAGCTTTCGTGGTGGATGTATTCCTCGAACCTGGTTCCCTCTGGGTTCTTAGCCATGTCTGCCTATTAGCTTCACCCAGGGGAGCCTTAAAAATTCTGATGCCCAGGTCCCACTTCAGAGCAATTAACATAGATACTGGACATAGTGCTTTAAAATAGGCTTTCTAATTATTTTAAGTGTAACGCCAGGATGAGAACGACTGTTCTATAAAACACAGTCTCTATTTCTAGAAAAGTATAGGGTTATGGATGCTGGCTTCCTAATTCTGCTAAGAACAGATGGGAGAAGGTGGGTTTCTCCTTCCTTCCTTCCTTCCTTCCTTCCTTCCTTCCTTCCTTCCTTCCTTCCTTCCTTCCTTCCCTCCCTCCCTCCTTCTTTCCTTCCTTCCTTCTTTCCTTCCTTCCTTCCTTCCTTCCCTCCCTCCTTCCTTCTTTCCTTCTTTCCTTCCTTCCTTCCTCCCCCTTCTTCCCTCCCTTCCACCCTTCCTCTCCTCCTCCCTCTCTTTCTCTCTTTCTCCCTTTCTCTCCCTCCCTCCTTCCTTCTTTCTTTTTTCTCTTTCTTGCTTACTTGCTTTCTCTTTCTTTTCTTTTTTCCTTCTTTTCCTGTGCTGTGACAGATATTATCCTAGGCACTTTACAGGAATGGCATACCTTTTCATCATCACTTTATCACATGAGGAAGGTTATTCTTTTCTTATAAATAAGAAGAGCAAAACTCAGAGTTGTTAAAGAGCTTTTCCGAAATCATACAGCCAAAAGTGGCTCAACTGGGATTCAAACTCACTGCTACTGGGTCCCACGATACTGTTCTTTCCAGCACGAGGAAACAGAAAGAAGATAAAATCCTCTTTTCTCCACAATGAACAACCTCATCATCTTCAATATTTTATTTTAGTTTTTATTTATTTATTTGAGACAAAGTCTCCCTCTGTTGACCTCTGTCGCTGGAGTGCAGTGGTGCGATCTTGGCTCACTGCAACCTTTGTCTCCTGGGTTAAAATTATTCCCATGCCTCAGTCTCCAGAACAGCTGGGATTACAGACATGCTCCACCACACCCAGCTACTTTCTGTATCTTTGTAGAGATTGGGTTTCGCCATGTTGGCCAGACTGATGTTGAACTCCTTGCCATGTGTGAGCTACTTGCCTCGGTCTCCCAAAGTGTTAGGATTACAGGTGTGAGCCACTGCATGCATCTCAATATTGTATTGATCCTATTTTCTGTCTCCTTCTCCGAGGTTTGATCTGCCGTTTACATATTACACTGTTTCACCAGGAGTCTTAGAAATGCAGCATATTACATTTCCAATTCTGAGGACACAGCAGCATGGCTTTGATGGTCTATTATTATTGTTGCCTCCCAGTTTCTCCTCTTTGAAAATGGAAATCAAAGCACCGCAAATCTGCTTACTCCCGGTCTGGTTGGGTTCCTTTGAAAGCTGCAGAAGGAAATTTATATTTACCCAACAACTACCATATTTCAGGCACTGTGCCAGGTTATATGGGTACTGAAACAAGTCAGTTCCTCTTCCACCCCTTCGTGGAGTAACATAGGTACCAATGGAGAAGGGCCAAGGTAATAAAAGTGTAATACATGTTGGTTAAAAATAGGTACTGGCCAGGCATTGTTAAGCACTTTATAGGAATTAGCTCATTTAATTTTCACCTTAGCCTATGAGGTAGGTAGTAGATGTTAATATCATTTGTATTTTACTGCAGAGGAAAACCTTGGGCTTAGAAAAGGTTAGTTTAGTACTTTGCTAGAAGAGCTAAGGCAAAGTTTTCAACCTTTGCAATATTAACCTTTTAAGGTTATTCTCTATTGTGGGGTGGTCCTGAGCACCACAGGATGTTAGCAGCATCCCTGGCCTCCACTCTCTAGAAGCCAGTAACGTCCCTTATTCAAGATGTTGCAACCAAAAGTATCTCCAAACATTGCTAACTGTCCACTGGGGAGAGGAAGGATAAAGTCACCCCTAATTCAGAATCACTTCCCCAGATCCACCATTCATGAGAAGTAGAATCTAAATTTCAACCTCGACATACTTTGGATCTGTGTCCCCACCCAAATCTCATGTTGAAGTATAATCCTCACTTTTGGAGATGGGGCCTGGGGGGAGGTAACTGGATCATGGGGACAGGTCCTTCATGAAGGATTTAGCATCATCCCCCTAGTGCTGTTCTCATGATAAGGTGTTATAACAAGATCTGGTTGGTTGTTTAGTGTAGGCTGGGTGCAGTGGCTCATGCCTGTAATCCCAGCACTTTGGGAGGCCGAGGCGGGCAGATCATGAGGTCAAGAGACTAGGACCATCCTGGCCAACATGGTGAAACCCTATCTCTGCTAAAAATACAAAAATTAGCTGGGTGTTGTGGCACATGTCTATAGTCCCAGATACTCAGGAGACTGAGGCAGGACTATTGCTTGAACCTGGGAGTCTGGCAGGTGGAGGTTGCAGTGAGCAGAAATCCCACCACTGGACTCCAGCATGGCGACAGAGTGAGACTCCGTCTCAAAAAAAAAAAAGAGTGTAGCACCTCTCCCTCACTCTCTCGCTCCTGAGCCTGCCATGTAAGACAAGCCTGTTTCCCCTTTGCCTTCTGCCATGATTGTAAGTCTCTCGAGGCCTCCCCAGAATCGGAGCAGATGCCAGAATCATGCTTCCTGTACAGCGTATGGAATTGTAAGCCAATTAAACCTCTTTTCATTATACATTACCAAGTCTGAGGTATTTCTTTATAGCAATGTGAGAACTAATACAAACCCAGACCATTTGAAACTAGACTTAAGAGCCTCTATTCCTTCCCATAGCACCATCACAGTTGAAAAGGGAACAGAAAAGAGGGTCTTCCATGGGAGAGACAACACGGAGGGTGTTTCTCAGAAGACTTATGCTTGTGTGGGGCTATAGGAGGGGAAAAGTTGAAGAGACATTCACCACAGAAGGCGGAATGACATTTTAGGCTATTTAATGCTCCCCATTAGAATCAGTGATGAATGGATTTCCCATAGAAGCTCAAAATGAGCCTGAGAGCCTGAGTTTCTGTATTCATACGAAATGCTTCCTCACTAAATAATGCCTGTGCCCCAAACCGCTGATGCAAGATTGAAGAAGAATGAAAAATAAGAAAAAAAATCCTTCATTCTATGCAAAAACAAGGAGAAAACGCTAATCTCTTTTCTGACTTTCAAAATAAGGTAATTTTGGAAATTTAAACTCTTTTGGGAAAATAAAATAGGTTCATTCGAGTTTGTCACATTTTGTGATTAGCGGCAGCTGCCAAATGTCCCACACATTTGGGAACAAGGAGCCATCATCGGTATTTAATGCCAGAGGGTTGGTTTTATAATATTTATTTTTCATAAAGGCAATAATGTTTTTGATAAAAGAGTTTTCAAGCATGGCTATATTTCTCCAGCCTGGGTGATGGGAAGCTGGGGGCCAATATCGGTCCTGAAATAGTCTGAATCCCCTTTCAGTTCTTACATAAAATATGCTGATTCTGTTCTGGCATTTGACATTTTCTTTATTAACTAATTCAGGCCACAAATGAGCAATTCTTTCAATAACTCATTTTGTTACAGAGAAGTTGTATTTCCTGCAAAGAATCAAAACATAGGTTTCTAGGACTAGTTTCCTCTAGTACTGACAGGGTTAGGCTTTGTTTACCCACTCAAAGCTCATATTTAATTGTAATCCCCAGGCGCTAAGGCAGAGACCAGGTGGGAGGTGATTGGATCATGGGCGGTTTCCCCTATGCTGCTCTCATGATAGTGCATGAGTTCTCATGAGATCTGAAAATTTTATAAGAGGTTCTTCCTCATTTGCTCTGAACACAGGTTCTCTCCCCTGACGCCATGTAAGACATGCCTGCTTCCCCTTCCACCATCCACAATGATTGTAAGTTTCCTGAGGCTTCTCCAGCCATGTGAAACTGTGGGTCAATTAAACCTCTTTTCTTTCTTTCTTTCTTTTTTTTTTTTTTGAGATGGAGTCTTACTGTGTTGCCCAGGCTGGAGTGCAGTGACATGATCTTGGCTAACTGCAACCTCTGCCACCTAGGTTCCACTGATTCTCCTGCCTCAGCCTCCTGAGTAGCTGGGATTACAGGCACCTTCCACTATACTTGGCTAATTTTTATTGTATTTTTAGTAGAGATGGGGTTTCACCATTTTGGTCAGGCTGGTCTTTTAACTCCTGACCTCATGATCAACCTGTCTCCACCTCCCAAAGTGCTGGGATTACAGGTGTGAGCCACCAACCAATACACTCCCCGCCCATTAGGGAGCCTGCTCTGACAGGTACTTTGTTTGGTTTCCCTTGTTCCCCTCCCCCATCCCCATACTCATGCTGGCCATTTCACCATTAATGATGAATCTCTCACCTGGGCATTCGCTGGACTTCCGGAAAGGTGTGTCTCTGAGAGAAAGATGGCTTGCTGCTCTCCGGCTCAGGGGGCAAGGGCTGGTACTTCTTCGGAAGTGTGATCAGAGGCCTGCGTGGAGAGTCAGAGTAGGGTCCTGAGAAGGTTTGCTGCATCAGTGATGCCTTAGGCCCTGAATCCACATTGCTCTGCCCTCAGTGTCCCCAGCTTTGGGTTGAAAATGCCAGTTTTGGGATGCTAACTTCGGAGAAGCCTGGTCAGGTCTGGCACTGTTTTATAAAGGGCCTGATATAATTTTCTACAGGGAGTCACATGCTCTTCCATAGTGCACCTGTTTTGGCTTTAGGAGGCCTGTGGAGAAAATGATAACAGCCTTCCATTCATCCCAGACTAGGAGACCTGAGTTCTTAGAGCTACCCAAAGAAATACAAAAATGTGTTTGGGATTGGTGGCTCAGGCCTGTAATCCCAGCACTTTGGGAGGCTGAGGTGGGTGTATCACCTGATGTCAGGAGTTCAAGACCAGCCTGGCTAACATGGTTAAACCCCATTTCTACTAAAAATACAAAAATTAGCCAGGCATGGTGGCATGCACCTGTAATCTTAGCTACTTGGGAGGCTGAGGCAGGAGAATCACTTGAGCCCAGGAAATGAAAGTTACAGTGAGCTGAGATCATGCCACTGCACTCAGCCTGGGCAACAGAGCCAGACTCTGCCTCCAAATATATATATATATATATATAAATGTTTGAAAGTCAGTGAACGCCTCACTCACTCATTTTATTCACTCATTCAATCATTTGTTCATAAAGTGTATCAGGTACTTTGGTGGATGCTGGAGATATAGAGAGGAAAAAGATAAAGTTTTTGGTTCAAGCTGCTTCCCTCTAGAAGGGAAGAGAGAGAAGTCAAGAAGTGATTGCCAGAGAGTGTAAGGCATGCCATGGCAGAGGTGCTCATGGGTCCCAAACAGAGCAAGAGTGGCCAGTCACTCAGAGCCTCTGCAGCTGCCTGTTGCTCTTTTCTCCATAGATATGTATACATGTAATAGTATTTGTGTATATATCACATAAATAGATACTTATATATTGTTAAGTTCCTTGAGGGCATATTCCATTTTCATATGAATCTAGGCCTACCAGAAGTATACCCAGCATATCATCCAGCAGATTTCTGTACTGAAAGAATGGAGAGGAAGAGAAAGAAACAAGGGAGGAATACATTCATCAAGAAATAATGAGTGAAGGTATATTGAATAGATAACTTTGAATAAATGTTTAAATGGATGAATGAAGGCCTGGTTAATCCTGCTCATCGAACATCTCATATTAGTTTTTCTTTCTCTCTACATGCATCTCTTTCTCTGAAATAATATTAGGTTTTCAATGTCAAATGTTTGTGTTTCTCTTTTTCAGATGCTGGCACAAATTATTTCAGTGTACAGAGAAACAAAATGCTATTTTAAGGTGTCTTACCGAGGAGGTGGTAAAGGAATCTGAAAAAGAAAGGAGAAACCTAAATTAAGTTTATTGTTCTGTGAGTAGGGCCAATGGTTAACAGTTTTTTGGTTTACAAGTAGAAATGACAAATTGTGACCAGACTTATAGGACATATTTTTCAAGAGCTGCGTGAGCTTTTGCATTGTCTATATTGCTATGCTTCTAAAGTACATAATGAATAACAAATGCATTTTAATGATTTCTCCTACCTTATTCTTCCTTAAAGATGTGTCTCCTAAAACATAAGAGGGAATACCAGTGAATTTATGGAAAATGTCATTGAGCATTGATTTCATACATGCTTACAGGAAAATCATTTTTATTTATAATAATATTGAGAATAACATCAGTTAATATTTGTTGAGATCTTATGAGATACCCAGAATAATAATAAACACTTTAGTGATGTGGTCTTATTAAATCCTCACCCTTGTTGTGTTAACAAAGAAACTGACACGTAGGTAGCTTAAATACCTCACCTATACTCACCCAGTGAGTAAATGGTAGAATGAAGATTTCATTGCATGTGGTACGACTCTTCAAAATAGAATAATTTCTGAAGACCTCCAGAATCCAACTTCTTTATTTTATGGATGAAAACACTAAGGACAAACTAGGTGAGATAATTTCTCCAGGCCAATTAACCCTAGAAAAAGCCCAAGTAGAGCCTGAAACAGACTCGTCTGACCTCTCGGTAGTTTTATTTCTGTAATACGACTCAGTATAATTATTGAGCTTCTAATCTGAGCTAAACACAGTACCGGGCACTAGGGTAAAAAGACAAATTCAGTCCTTCCTGTCAAGGTGCTCCTAGCTGGGGTGTTCACAGGCCAAGCTTCTGGCTCTGGGGATGTGACTGTGAAGATGACTGGTAGGGTTTATACCTTAGTGGGTAGACCTGCACTGAAGGCATCACCAACCATCTGATGAGAATTTCAAATAGAGAAGACAAAGAATATGTGGGAGACCTAAGTTAGTCTGAGTTGTCAGAAGAAGGCTCCTTGGAAAAGCAATGTTTGATTATCTCTAAAAATGGGTGTGTTATAATAAATGCTATTTGATAGGACTGTTAGGAAATCAGTGAGAAAATGTCTATCTCCTGCTATAGGAGACTTAAACCTCCACTGAAAACTGGCTGGGTGGCTTCGCACCGAGTTCCCTTTGCTCTCCTCACTTGTGAGACAAGGAGGTTGGACTAAATGAGTACTTTTTAACCATGTGCTGAAGAGCCCCCTGCACTTTCCCCTGGAAGTCCCGTGGTGCCTGGGTGCAGGGGGACTGGTTACTGGTTTACCACCCCATGTCATTAAAGGCTTAACTTCAGCCTGCTCTCCACTGTACCTTCTCTTTAGATTCCTCTTGGTGAAAGGTCCAACTGGCACAATGCAACGCACAGCAACACAACACAACACAACACAAACTGGTCTGTATAATTTTAATGGCTCTTCTAGGTCTAAGATAATTACTTCAAAGAATACGAATAAAATTACCATTCTTCCTTTCTGTTTTCAGTTTTGAAAGACACTTTGCAATAGGTAGGATTAACTTCTTTATGTGAATTGCAAACACTGATTGCACCCATAAGTAATGTATGTCTTTGGCATTGTGAAAACACAAAATATGACCCAGGATGTACTTCAAAACAGGAGCAATCTAGTTGATGTGAGATCTTTGACTACTTCAAGGAAATCACAAAAAAGCTTAGGTCACATGATGCTTGCTTAAGCCACAAAATTAGAAAACATAAATTAATTTCCTTTCATTTGATTGTTTATTGGCCTCACTTCCGGAGCTCCCTGGTGGATCATCTTGCTGCCTGCGTTGATGACTTTCCCTGAAAAACTAGATGCTGGCTTTCCAAGAGAACTTTTTCCACTATATCTACTGGGGATCAGTTCAATTCACCGGAAAAAGAATTCAATAAAGAGACTGAGTTCCTGTAGCTGAATAGGAAAATTCCATTTACGGTTTTCAAGATACCTACCCAGTTTGCTTCGGGGGTTGTGAGTTTTGAATGGGACATCTATCTTCTTTTATTTCACTGATTTATTATTGAGCGCATAGTATGTGTCAGGCATAGACTCATTTTTAATGTATTTATAATTAAAATAAAAATTATATCATACCAACAAATAAAGTTGCTATTCCCATGAAACTTACATTCCAGTGGCAGAATTTAGGAAATATGTAAACAATAATATAAATAAACATTCACAAGTGATGACAAGTGCTACACAGAAAATAAAGCAGACTGGGGGACAGCAGGGCCCGGAGAGTTGGGGCTGGGCTACTGTGTTTTTGGCTGGTCTGAGGAGGCATCTGTGGTTAGAAGATGAAATCAGAGGCCTGAGGAAAGCAAGGGAGCATGTCCTGTGGATATCTTGGGAAGGGGATTTCTGGAAGAGGAAACAGCAAGGGCAAAGGTCCTCAGGGGGTGTCAATTCATTTTCTGTTGCTTAAAACAGAATACTTAAAATTCGGTGATTTCCTTGAAATTAGGTATGTCCAAGAACACACAGGTGCACGTGGTGAGAGCCTTCTTGCTGGTGGGGACTCTGAGGTGTACTAAGATGTGCAGGACATTACATGGCGAGGGTGCTGACTGTGCTAATGTCCTAGCTTGGGTCCCTCTTCCTGTTCTCATAAAGCCACTGGTCTTCCTTCCATGATAACTCAACACCCATTAATTCATTAATCTGTGAATGGATTAATCTATGAAAACGGAGCCCTCATGATCCAATTGCCTCTTAAAGGTCTCACCTCTCAATACTGCCACCTTGGGGCTGAAGTTTCAGCATGAGTTTTGGAGGAGACATTCAAACCAGCATTCCACCCCCTGGTTCACCAAAATGCATGCCCTCACATACAAATATATTCATTCATCCTTGTAGCCCCAAAGCCTTAACTCATTTCAGTACCAACTCAATAGTCCAAAGTTCAGAGTCTCATCCTTGAGCCTATGAAATCAAAACAAGTTATCTACTTCCAAGATGCAATCTTGGGATAAGTATAAGGTACACATTCCTATTCCAAAACGGAGAAAGAAGCAAGAAGAAAGGGCTAACAAGACCCGAGAGAGAAGACTCTGGGTCTTGAGATTCCAGAATAGTTTATTCTTATTCCATGTCTGGCATTCTGTACACGCTGGAGCAAGGACTGGGGCCTTCAGGATGCCCAACCACTATAGCTTTGTTGGGCTTAGGCCACCCAGTTCTCCCAGATTGGCACTGCACACCAGTAGCTCTACAGCTCAGGGGTCTTGGTGGCAGGTTCACTCCCATTACCCTGGTGGGAATTCTCTGCAGTGACCTTGCTCCCATGGCTCCATTAGGCATTGCCCGGGTGGGGACTCTGCATTAGCTTCAACACCACATATCTGCTTTGTATTGCTTTAGTGGGGGCTCTCTGCAATGTCTCCACCTGCACCAAGTCTCTGCTTGGGTGCTCAGGCCTTCGATGACATCTTTTGAAATCCGGGTGGAGGTTTCTGAGCCTTCACAGCTCTTGATTTCTGCAAGCCTGCAGAATTAGCACCACACAGATAATGCCAAGGTTTATGACTTGTACGTTGCAGAGCTTCAGTACAAGAATCTCAGCTGGGGTTGCTTGAGCCAGGCAGTCGTGAAGTGCTATGCTGCGGTGTATGGAGCTGAGTCCCAGGGTGGTTGTGGGCAGTAAGCTGGTAGACATACCCCAATCCTGTCCCCTGAAACCTTTCTTCCATCCTAGAAATCTGGGCCTGTGGCATGATCTTGGCTCACTGCAACCTCCCACATTCAAGTGATTCTCCTGCCTCAGACTCCCAAGTACTTGGGACTACAGTCATGCACCACAATGCCCAGCTAACTTTTTGTATTTTTAGTAGAGATGGAGTTTCACCATGTTAACCAGATGGTCTCAATCTCCTGACCTCATGATCCACCCACCTCAGCCTCCGAAAGTGCTGGGATTTTGGCGTAAGCCTTCGTGCCCAGCCTCCTTCTATATTTTATTTAGAATTTTCTTCTGCCAGATATCCTAGTTTATCACTCTCAAGTTTGGCCTTCCTCAAAACCCTCAGGCATAGAAGCAATTCATTCAGGTTCTTTGCCAATTTATAACAAGAATGGCCTTTATTCCAGTTTTCAATATCTTGCTCCTCAGTTCTCCCTCGGACCTCATCAGAATGGCCTTTATTCCAGTTTTCAGTATCTTGCGCCTCAGTTCTCCCTCGGACCTCATCAGAATGGCCTTTATTCCAGTTTTCAGTATCTTGCGCCTCAGTTCTCCCTCGGACCTCATCAGAATGGCCTTTATTCCAGTTTTCAGTATCTTGCGCCTCAGTTCTCCCTCGGACCTCATCAGAATGGCCTTTATTCCAGTTTTCAGTATCTTGCGCCTCAGTTCTCCCTCGGACCTCATCAGAATGGCCTTTATTCCAGTTTTCAGTATCTTGCTCCTCAGTTCTCCCTCGGACCTCATCAGAATGGCCTTTACTCCAGTTTTCAGTATCTTGCGCCTCAGTTCTCCCTCGGACCTCATCAGAACGGCCTTTATTCCAGTTTTCAGTATCTTGCGCCTCAGTTCTCCCTCGGACCTCATCAGAATGGCCTTTATTCCAGTTTTCAGTATCTTGCGCCTCAGTTCTCCCTCGGACCTCATCAGAACGGCCTTTATTCCAGTTTTCAGTATCTTGCGCCTCAGTTCTCCCTCGGACCTCATCAGAATGGCCTTTATTCCAGTTTTCAGTATCTTGCTCCTCAGTTCTCCCTTGGACCTCATCAGAACGGCCTTTACTCCAGTTTTCAGTATCTTGCGCCTCAGTTCTCCCTCGGACCTCATCAGAACGGCCTTTATTCCAGTTTTCAGTATCTTGCGTCTCAGTTCTCCCTCGGACCTCATCAGAATGGCCTTTATTCCAGTTTTCAATATCTTGTGCCTCAGTTCTCCCTCGGACCTCATCAGAATGGCCTTTACTCCAGTTTTCAGTATCTTGCGCCTCAGTTCTCCCTCGGACCTCATCAGAATGGCCTTTACCGTCTGTATCTCTGTCAGCATTCTTGCCACAACCACTTATCTAATTACCAAGAAGTTCCAAACTTTAGCCTCTTGTCTCCTAAGCTTTCACCAGAATTGAGACTTTTTCTGTCCTGCGCCTCCAAATTCTTCTACTTCTGCCCATTGCCCAGTTTCAAAGCTGCTTCGCATTTTCAGGTATTAATTATCAGCAACACTCCCCTTCCTGGTGGCTATTTT